TTTCGGATGTAATGCTCTGTTCAACTCCAGAGATAACGCAGGAGTAGGAAGACACTGGATGCTGCTTTTCGCTACTCTCTCTCTTGTATGGCTGAGTTTCTGAATAGTTAGTTATTAGTTTTTCATCCTTCCACTTCTTCAAAGTTTCTTGAAGAATAGTTTTGGTTGTGTTGCTCTTTAGTAAGAATCCTTTTTTGGTTTCTAGGATTATATCTCGGTTATTAGGTATTGCATTTTCCCACAATTCAGCAATCTCCGCGCGGTTCATTGAAAATTTAAAGAATTTGCACAAATCTATGATTTTATTCACGTAACTTGTAGTCCCAAGTTCTCTCAAAGTAACGGAGGGGTAGAGAGAGCGGTGCAAACGGCTAAACGTTTGATAAAATAAAATAAGGACGAGGACATATTTTTAGCATTGTTAGCTTACAGGACAAGTCCTTTAGAACTTTAGGGTTGTGGATATACGTAGGTATGGACGAATAATCGAAATTTGCGATGAACCACGTTCGTACATTGTAGAGACTGACGTGGGTCAATACCGGAGAAACCGGTGGCATCTAATCCAAGCCCCTTATCATTTTTCAAACACACATCCTGAATCAAATCAAATCAAAATATGCTTTATTGTTACGAAGAACATAATCAGTTCTCAAGAACAAAGCTGTAGGTATATATAAAAAGAAAATAGTAAGTATATCAAATCGAGATCAAATACATAATAATAATAATAATAAAGCAGACAAACATACACATGTGTATACAAAACTTAACTCGAGATTTAACAAAAACTTACATCTATACAAATATATTAAAAATTCACAGATACAATAAAAATGACTTTACAAAAGCTAAATAGTGCAAAACAAACATGATACCTAATCTCTAACAAAAGACGAAAAAATAAAAAAAAATAAAAAAAGTTGTAACCAGCCACATATTAATTATTACATGCATTTTAAAATGTTTCACTGTAAAACTCTTCCAAGGTGTAGTATGCTTTAGATTATAGTAAAGGTTTTACAGATCGTGAGAATATTTTATCATTGTTGATATTTCTGAAATCTTGTGGTAAGTGATTATAAACTTTTAATCCCTCATATATTAGTGAGTTCCTAATCAATGAGCTCTTTGGGATAGGTAGGCGCAGTTCATTATTTCTGCGAGTCTCATATTTGGAGCTATCTTGAACATTTTTATATTTTTTATGTACCAGTATGACTTAGATTATTGCTAACTATCCTTATGGCGTAGCAAGCCGATGATAATTTTTTGTTTAGTGATGTTATGTGCTCAGAAAATCTCAATTTTGAGTCTATATATATACCCAAAAACTTTGAGACTTGGGTTTTTTCTATTTCATCATTGCCCAAAGTTATGTCCGCTATATTGCCCTTGAAAGTCATGATATTTGTTTTTTTAATGTTAAAAGACAAATAATTGGCATCACACCATTGTTTTATTTTGCATATATCAGCTTGTATTCGTGCTTCTAGCTGATTAGAGCTCTGATCCACCCACAGAATTGTTGTATCATCAGCAAAGAGTGTGAAATGACCACTTATGTTTGTATTTACTATGTCATTTATATACAATAAAAAAAGGAGTGGTCCCAACACGGATCCCTGTGGTACGCCATAAGAGTTGGTTTGAATGGTTGACTTTTTGTTCTGGCATTTAACAAGCTGTTGTCGCTCTGATAAGTATGAAGATATCCATTTCAACGCAATACCTCTAAATCCATAATGTTCTAGTTTTTTCAGCAGTATTTCACGCCTCACGCAGTCAAATGCTTTTGACAAGTCGCAGAACACTGCCGAAGCCACCATTCCATCATTGAGATTCAAATAAAGTTTCTGCAAAAAATTAAATAGCGCGTCATTAGTGCTTTTTGCTGTTTGAAATCCAAATTGGCACTCCCTTAAAATATTATGTTTGTTTATGAATGACATCATTCTATCCTTGACCACTTTTTCCATTATTTTAGAGAGAGTAGGGAGGAGAGAGATGGGTCGATAAGAAGAGGGGTCTTCCAAATCTCCACCCTTAAATATTGGCGTAATTAAACCTATTTTTAAACATTGCGGAAACACACCAGTGTCAAATGAATTATTTATAGCATTTACCAAAACGTTTAATGCATTATCTGATAAATTCTCAAATATTTTAATTGATATATTATCTATTCCAGTGGAGGTTTTATTTTGTATATTTTTAATAACATGTTTAAGTTCTGTTAGATCAGTATGTCGTAAGAAAAAACTCTCTATGATATTTATGTTTTGTAGGAAAGATAGAGGGTCAATTTGTGGTTTTAAATTAGACATTATTTCTCTAGCTACTTTACAATAATATTCATTGAGTATATTTGAATCTATGGTAATTTGATTACTGTTCAAATTATATTTTCCTGTTAATTCACTCACAATAGTCCACCCTTCTTTAGCCTTGTTTCCTGAACGACTTAGCCTATTTTTATAGTAGTCCCTTTTTGCTAGTTTAATGACTTGCCTATACATTCTCTTGTACTTATTAAGATAGTTTGTTATAAATTCAGATGGAAAATATTTTTTAAGATTACAAAGACATCTTAAATTCTTTGATGATATTTTCAAACCTTTTGTTACCCAGGGTTTTTTGAACTTTTTCTTTTTAATTTTTTGCAAGGGGAAATTCTTATTAAAGGTTAAAATCAACAAATTATTGAAGTGTTCTAGTGGATTATTATGCTGGAAAACCACATTCCAGTTCAACAATTGAGTATCAGCTTGAAAATTTCTATAATTTTTCTTGCTATAGATTCTACCAATTGTTTTTGTTTTTTCTTTAGTATTATTTTTTAGAGAAAGCTTTGCTATTATTGCCTCATGGTCTGGTAATCCAGAGGGTATTACAGTTAAATTAAAATTGTTTGCTTCACCAAAGTTAACACAAAAATAATCAATAAGAGAGCTAGTAGTATTTGTGAAACGTGTAGGTTCAGATACTAACATCCTAATATTAATTGAATTGCCAATATTGTCTGATAATTTAAGCACGGACTTATCTTTTGATACACCAAACCAAGAGGCTTATGATTCTTGTGAGGATTTCAGTGAAACAAATGAACAGAACAAAAATTCAAATGAGGAAAGTGCGGGTGATTTGAAAGATGTTTCGATGCAACATCTAAGTTTCAGCAGTGAGAATGAGAATAAGACAATAAATCCTGATGTAGTGTTGCAGACCCAAATGTAATATTAAGAAGCCTGCTTATTTTTCCGACTATGTTAATTAGGTAGGTAGTTTATAAGTTAAACTTAAGTATTTTCATTGTTTAAAAAAATATTATAAAAGGGGAGATGTGCCATTAGGCCATATGCCTCTGCGCGCGAGTCAAACTCTTGCGGGGCTTTATTTGATGAGCTCGTTGGTGATTCACTTTTTTTTTTTTTTTTTTTTTTCTGAGAATAGTATTCGTTTCAGATTTTATATGGTTTACTGTTTATTATTTCTCCATTTTCTCATAAATTATATAAAGATTTACATTTACTAACCTGTTATTGTCCCCACAGACGAGAAATTTCTCTTGTGGGGTTGAATCCTGTATTTATTGTTAAGTAAAAAATTGAATGTATATTTTTTCTTTAAAACAATAAATGCTATATAATAATAATAAAAAAAAAAAGGCCTGATGTGTAGCAACACGTCTTACTCCAGAGCTCTGAGGGTAAGGAAAGTTGGCAAGACAACGCGAGCTGTCAGTGAGTGTTACGGGGATCTCTAGTCAATGAGACATATAACCTTTACCTTAAAACGAGATGAAGAAATCAGTAATCCTACTCAGATAAAATTTCTGGGAGTCATGCTTGACTTCAAACTTACTTTCGAGTGCCAATGTAAACCATATCTCCAAGAAAATTACATCTGGAATATATGTACTTCGAAATCTGTGTAGGACCACGAATTTGAGTGTTGCTCTAATGGCCTACCATGCTCTACACCATTTCAACATCAATTTCGGAAAAAGTAACTTTTATTTAGGAAAATGTCAAGTCATTTCCGGAAAAAGTCAAATTTATTTCAGAAAAAGTAAAGTTAATTTCGGAAAAAGTAAATTCAAATTCGGAAAAAGTAAATTCAAATTCGGCAAAAGTAAGCTATTAATGAATTTACATTTTCCGAATTTGAATTTCCTTTTTCCGAAATTAACTTTACTTTTTCCGAAATAACCATTACTTTTTCTGAAATTGATTTGAGTTTTTCCAGAAATGACTTGACATTTTCCTAAATAAAAGTTACTTTTTCCGAAATTGAGGTTGAAATGGTGTAGTCCATTCCGTCATTTGCTATGCTCTGTTGGCTTGGGGACATTCGGCTCATGCCTTGAGAGTGTTTGGTTTGCAGCGGAGGGCAGTGCGAGTTCTAGCTCATGTCGGATACCGAGATGACCCCAAACAGTTTTATCGTGACTTTCAGATTCTAACCGTACCATCACAATACATTTATGACTGCCTACTGTACATGCGCCATAATTTGCATAATTTCGCGGCTCTGGTGAAACACACCATCATGATGCCAGACATCGCGACAATATTAGAATTAATTTTCTCAGACTAGGAACATCAAGGAATGCAATACTTTATTTTGCTCCTGTCTTTTATAATAAGCTGCCTGTCTCTGTAAGAGAGTTGACAGCTCAGCGATTTAAGTCTGTAGTTAAGAAATATTTGTTAGGCCAGATTTTTTATCATCATAGGGAATTTCTGGATAGGGATGTTGCTGCTGACTTTGATCTACTGTTGTGACACTGTGTTTTATTTAATTGTTTAATTGATAAATTAGTATGATAAATGACAAATGTAAAAATTTATAAATTTGTATAAGTACATGATTATTTAATAAATTGAAATTGAAAATTGATGTCATGAGGTCTTTTGAATAAAACCCTTAATTTATTATTCAAGTATTATTTCTCACCGAAGATAATACGACAATATTCTACAATGCAAATTATTTACCTGTAAAAACGTTACTAATCCTCCAGCCCAAGAAGCTCGACTTATATGATGAGCATATAGTTTCTCTTGCTGAGAAAGGCCATTGAAAGCCGATTCAATTTCGAGCCTTACGAAGGGTTGATCGAATGGCAATACATATTGGGTTTTATCAATAGTTTGAACCATTTTTTTGGCTAAAAATAAATTATACAAGTCATTGTTATTTTAATGAATGAGAATTAATTAGGATTAATTTAATTTACCTCTGTGGTTAATAAAATAATTAACAATTAGGTAAATAACAGGAAATTTAAATAATTAAATAAAAATCCAGCCAGTAGTGGACAACAACTACTACTATTTGAGTTGAGGAAAATTTTTCAATTTTTTCTTTCATTCATAACACGTCAACAATATTTTATTACTAGCTAAAATTGGCAACATTGCATTATAGAAAAGTTGAAGATTTCTGTAATTTTGTTTTAAAAATACGTCAAATTAATAGCTGTTTTTCATAATATTTCTCAAAGAATTTTCTATATAAAAAATTAATCATTCATGAAACCTTTTTTCTATCCATTTTTGCAAAATCTCAATAAAATTTCTCTTCGAAATGAAGGAGAAATCTGGCAACATTGTACGTACTCTAACCTCACTTTTAACTTTTTGACAACTTCATTCATAATTTCCATTCATTATTTTTGTTTGCAGCAGCAACAAATATTTAAACTTTAAAAGCCCACAAACAAAATTCAAACAAAATCAGGACCTTAATGCTTACCCTCTCATAAAACCTACACAAATCATTAATTATGACTTCAATAATAAAACTACAAGTCCTCTCGGGGGCTATGGACGAGTCTCCGCCAGCTTACCTTTTGCAAATCGACGACGTAAAAATCCTATTGGATTGCGGCTGGGATGAAAAGTTCAATATGGAATTCATTAAAGAAGTCAAAAGGTAGCTTACCAATAACTGTAGGCTAAAAAAACTACAATAATTATTTCAGACACATTCACCAAATAGATGCTGTCCTGATCTCGTACCCTGACACAATGCATTTGGGGGCTTTGCCCTATTTAGTGGGCAAACTAGGGCTGAATTGTCCGATTTATTCAACGATTCCTATTTATAAGATGGGTCAAATGTTCATGTACGAATTGTATCAGTCACAAATGAACATGAAGTCTTTTATGTTGTTTAATTTGGACGATGTTGATGCTACATTTGAGAAAATTATACAGCTGAAGTATAATCAGAGTGTGCCTTTGAAAGGTAAGCAATTAATCTGCAAGATATTTAGTAATCTTTATTCTTTAATAAAATTACACAAAGATGGTTGTCCTATTAGACTAGTTGTTGGCTTTATTAATGCTCCTTCATCCTCCAATACCGAGGGATGGTTAACTCCTTAAAATATGTACACAGATTTCAAATCTTCATTGATTTTGTAGGATTTTGAGGATTTTGAAAATCTTCACATGATTTTACAGGATTTTAAAAGATTTTAGGTAATTTTGCAGCATTTTAGGGAAGTTAGAAGGGTTTTTAGAGATCCCAGAGTATTTTTAGACATTTTAACGGATTTTTGGGGATCCCCAAGAATTTTTGGAAATGTTAAAGTTGTTTTTTATTAGGAATTTTATAGAGTTTTGCCAGATTTTTTTTGTTCTAGTAAAATTTTGTTAAATTTTTAAAGATTTTAAAGATTTTCAGGGATTTTAAGTAGATCTTATGAGTTTTTCTGGAATTTTGACCAACTTGTATACAAATTTTCATCAATTAACCGCTCGAAGTTTAGCTAACTCCATAAAATGTGTATCTACATAATTAAATTTTGATTGCTTTTGTAGGATTTTGAGGATTATGAAAATCTTCGCGTAATTTTACAAGATTTTAGATTTCTGCGATTTTAGGTGATTTTGGATAATTTCAGGGAATTTAGAAAGGGTCTTTATGGCGTTTTTACCAATTAATTTAGGGAAGCTTTAATTTTTGTAAGTATTTTTGAAACTGACATTTCTTCATAGAAGACTTATAAGAATACTTATTGTTGAAGTTCCCCTAAAATAGTTGGTGGAAATAGCCATTAGAGATCCTAAAGGATTTTTAGAAATTTTAACAGATTGTTCAGGATTCCGAGGGATTTTTGGAAATTTTGAGGATTTTTTTTTTAGGAATACCTACATATTAATGATTTTATAAGATTTGTCGGATTTTTTTTGTTCTAATAAAATTTTGTGTGATTTTGCGAAATTTTATGCGATTTCAAGTGATTTTTAAGGGATTCTGTGAGATTTTGTTAAATTTTTAATGATTTTCAACTCTATAAAATAATGAACTCATATTTTATATCTTAATTGATTTTGTAGGATTTTGGAAATTTTGAAAATCTTTACACGATTTTACAAGAGTTCAGAACTCGGTTCAGAAGATTTTAGATTTTCAAAATTTTAGGTGATTCTGGAACATTTTAGGGGTTTTTGAAAAGTTTTTAGGGATTCTAAATTCAAATGACAAAGGACCCCGCAATATTTAAATGGAAATTGGTTACCCGTGATATTTGGATGAAATTTAAATATGTTATTGGGGATGCCGTAAGCAACATTTTTTATCATGGGCACAACCCTGTATATATGACAGGTGAGGCGTGGTTAGCTGTCAAATATTGGAATCTGATATCCAAAAGCAGAGTAACTATGGCAGATTTTGATGAACAAAAAATCTATTTCTACTAAGTCGACCAAGTTTAGTCAAAAAATGTCAACCGTTTTAACACCTGTCAAAACCCTGCCAAACGGCAGCACTCATCTTTTCCAGTTTTCAATTATGTTGTCATTTGACATTTTCAACTTATATGCAAATTCTGAATTCAAAAATTGAAAAAAAAAATGACAGCTGTCAAAATGAGACGTGCATGAACTTTGTTCAATGTTTTATCACCAATAAACTACCTTAAAGCGAGAAAGGACCAGATTAGAGTATTTTTTCCTACTAAAACAAATGACAGGTTTTGACAGTTCTGTAATTTTTTTTTTTAATTTTTGAATTTAGAATTTACATATAAGTTAAAAATGTCAAATGACAACATAAAATATTGAAAACTGGAAAAGGTAAGTGCTGCCGTTTGGCAGGGTTTTGACAGGTGTTAAAATGGTTGACATTTTTCGACAACTTGGTCGACTTAGTGGAAATTGATTTTTTGTTCATCAAAATCTGCCATAGTTACTCTGCTTTTGGGTATAAGATTCCAATATTTGACAGCTAACCACGCCTCACCTGTCATATATACAGGGTTGTGTTCATGGTAAAAAATGTTGCTTTCGGCATCCCCAATAACATATTTGAATTTCATCCAAATATCACGGGTAACCAATTTCCATTTAAATATTGCGGGGTCCTTTGAATGAATTCAAATGACAAATTTGAATGGAAAACCGGAAATTCCTAGACATTTTATTATAGGATTTCATAATACTTTTCCGAATTTCATCATATGATTTTATTGAATTCCACCATAAAATTCAATGGAATTCTTGGACAAAAATTCCTCGGAATTACACTACTTATGAGATTTCATGAAATTCTTCGGAATTCCACTAAAATTTCAAATTATTCCTCGAGTTTTTCCATGGGAATTCTTCGAAAATTTTTGTTAATTCATAGAAATTCCTAGAAGATTTTATGGAATTCCTCGAAATTCCATTCAAATGATAAAATTGAAGAAAAATAGAAAGTCCTAGAAATTTTACCATAAGATTTCATAATACTTTTCCGAATTTCACCACAACATTCCATGAAATTCTTCCATAAAATTCAATGGAATTCTTGTTCAAAAATTCCTCGGAATTACAGTAAAAGATTTCATGAAATTTCTCAAAATTCCACAAAAATTTTATGTAATTCGAAAGAAATTACTCAAAGTTCCACTAAAATTTAATTCAATTCTTGGGAGTTCCGCCGAAATTTCTCGTGGTTCCATGGAAATTCCACGAAAATTCTGTTTAATTCCAAGAGAATTCTTCGGATTCCATATAATTTTACTGGAATTCCACAATAAGATTTCAAGGAATCCCATGTATGTAATTCGACGAGAATTCCTTGGAATTTTACTCAACATTTTATCGAAATTTCATGTTATTCGACACAAAGTGAAATTATATATAATTTGATGGAAACTTTGCGAATATTTCATAGTTTTTTGTTTTTTCGAAATTTCACTGAAATTCTCTAAAATTCTATAGAAATTCCAAATTCCATATATGTTTTAAAACTTTACTAAAATTCCCCAAAACTTCACCACTAAAATATCCTGGAATTCCACAATGTTTTCATAAAATTTTGCGGAATATCATTGACATTTCTTGTAATTTATTAGAAATTTCTCGGAATTTCACTAAAATTTTTTGAATTTTTTTTGAAATTTCCAATGAAACTTCAATTTTTTTTTTCAAAATTTCATTTATTTCCATAAGAATTTTTACGGAATTCCACTGAAATTCTCTTTCAATAGTTAGGAATTTCTGAGAATATTAATAAAACTTCAAGTAATTTATTGAAAATTCACCGAAATTCCTCCGAAATATATTGAAATTTCATATCATTACATGGGAATTTTTCCAAATTTCACCGAAATTCCAAGCTTTTAGCTGAAAATTCCTCGGAATTCCACTTGTAAAATTTTCTCTAATTTTACTAAAATTCGGTAATTCGATGGGAATTTTTCGAAATTTCAATTTCACTAAAATGTCATGTTTTTAACTGGAAATTTCTTGGAATAAAAATAAAACTTCATGTTATTACATTAGGATTTTTCGGAATTTCACGGAATTCCTTATGAAACAATAAGAGTTGTTCAAAATTCCACTTAATTTCATGTAATTCCCTGACAATTCCTTGGAATTCCATGCAATTGCATCGGAGCTCCATATAATTCGACGAAAAATTCTCAGAAATCATGTAATTTTTTGAAACTTTTTTAAAATTGTTTATGTAATTTAGCGAGCACTAAAATTTCATGTTGGGAATCTCGGTGTAATTGAATGTAATTGTTTAGAATTCCTCCATGCAACTCATTTAGCATTTCACTCGACATTTCATGTAATTCGATCGAAATTCCACTGAAATTTCATGTAATTTCTCGAAATTTCATGTAATTCGAGAGGAACTAAAATTTAATGTGAATTCTATGGAAACTCCTCAAAAACTTCACATGTCACATTTCACACCATAAAATTCAATGGCATTCTTGGAAATTTTTTTTTCTTCAGAATTACAATAAGAGATTTCATGAAATTCTTCGGAATTCCACTAAAATTTCAAGTTACTCCATGGGAATTCCGCGAAATTTTTAGAAGATTTTATGGAATTCCTCAAAATTCCATTCAAGTGATAAATTTGAATGGAAAAACGTAAATTCCTAGAAATTTTACTATAAGATTTCATAATACTTTTCTGAATTTCATCATAAGATTCTGTGGATTCCACCATAAAATTTAATGGCATTCTTACACAAAAATTCCTCGAAATGACACTATAAAATTTCATGAAATTCTGCGGATTTCCATTAAAATTTCAAGTTATTCCATGGGAATTCCGTGAAAATTTTAGTCAATTTCATAGAAATTCCTTAGAATTTCACCAGAAGATTTTATGAAATTCCTCAAAATTCCATCCAAATGCGGTAAATTTGAATGGAAAAACGGAAATTACTAGAGTAATTCCATAGAAATTTCTTACGATTTTACCAGAAGCCTTTATGGAATTCTTAGATAAAATGTTTTTGGAATTACAGTATAGGATTTCCTCGGAATTTCACTAAAATTTCAATTTTAAAATTCCATAAAAATTCCATAATTTTTTTTTTTTTAACTTTACTGAAATTCCCCAAAATTTCATCTTTGAAATATCCTGGAATTTCACAAAATTTTCATAAAATTCTTCGGAATTTCATTGACATTTCATGTAATTTCTTTAAAATTCCTCGGAATTCATAAAAAAGTTTATGAGAATATTTTGAAATTCCACGTTCATAGCCGACGATTTCCAAGTCCAATGAAACTTCAAGGAATTTTTAAAAATTTCGTCTATTTTCATAAAATATTTTCGGAATTTCACTGAAATTCTCCTTTAATAGCCAGGAATTTCTAGGAATATTAATGAAATTAAATAATTTCTTGAAAATTCACCAAAATATATTGAAATTTTGATGTCATTACATGGGAATTTTTCGGAATATCACCGAAACTCCGTGTTTTTGGCCGGAAATTCCTCGGCATTCCACTTGTGGAATTTACTGGAATTTTACTAAAATTAAGTAAGAACTGAAACTTCATGTTGGGAATTTCGATGTAATTTCATATAATTGTTTAGAATTCCTCCATGCAATTCATTTAGGATTTTGTATAATTCGATCGGAATTTCACTGAAATTTCATGAAATTCGAGAGGAACTAAAATTTAATGTAAATTCTATAGAAACTCCGCAAAAATTTCACATGTAATTCCTTTTTCAGAATAACATAGTTCTACCGAAATTCCTCGAAATTCCACTAAATTATGGAATTCTGAGAGATTGTAACAGATTTTTGGGGATTTTAAAGGATTTTTGGGAAATATTTTTTAGGAATGTTAATGATTTTATGAGATTTTGCAGGATTTTTTTGGTTTTAATGAAATTTTGTTAGATTTTGTATGATTTTATGCAATTTCAGGAGATTTTGTTAAATTTTTTAAGGATTTTAAAGATTTTTAGGGATTTTGAGTAGATCTTATAAGATTTTCTGGGATTTTGACCAACTTGTACACAGATTTTGACCAGTTAACCACCCCTCGGCCCTCATCCAATACAGAGTAAGAAGTTTCAGATTCTGAATACAGTGAGTGAATCCTGAATCAATACTACTGTGCCAATTTCCTAGTTTTTCTCTGAGAAAATTCCTAATCCTGCATACATTTTTTGTTTCATTCTAGGAGACAGTGTTGAGATCATAAATTTCAAGGCATTATTTTGCACATTTCTCAGTTTCTTGAATGACAAAAGCTTTGAAATCCTCAATTCTGACTCACCATTTCGCAGATTTTCTGATTCTCCTCAGACAAGATTTATAAGATCCTTAATTTCAATTCATTATTTCCTGAAGACTTTCAGAAAACTCTTCCTATATACATAGGTTTCAACCAATAGGATCAACCAAAATTCTTACTCTATAGATTGTAAACAAAGTTCCTGTACAAATATTTTTTAGATCTTAAAATTTTGAATCTGAATAAGGAATCACTTTGCAAATTTGCTTCATAGAATGTTTGCTTATTATATACCTTTAATTTTTTCCATATTTTCTAGGAAAAGGTTACGGTCTCACGATAACTCCTTTACCAGCAGGCCACATGATTGGCGGAACAATATGGAAAATAATGAAAGCAGGCGAAGAAGATATCATATACGCTAACTCATTCAACCACAAAAAAGAGAGGCACTTGAACGGTTGCGAATTGGAAAAATTGCAAAGGCCTTCTTTGTTTATTACTGATGCTTTCAATGCCAGTTATCAACAGGCCAGACGTAGAGCCAGAGATGAGAAATTGATGAGTAAGAATTGTTCCATTGCAGACTCAAACTTACCAATTAATTTTCAGCAAACATTTTACAAACTCTTAGAAATAGCGGTAACGTTCTAATAGCAGTAGACACTGCCGGCAGGGTATTGGAATTGGCCCACATGTTGGATCAGTTGTGGAGAAATAAGGAATCAGGGCTTTTAACATATTCTCTAGCACTTATAAGCAATGTAGCTTACAATGTTGTCGAGTTTGCCAAATCGCAAATAGGTAATTTTTGATGTTTTGCCAATTATACAATTTCAATTAAATCTTTTTAGAGTGGATGAGCGACAAGCTAATGAGAAGTTTTGAGGGTGCGAGGAACAATCCGTTTCAATTTAAACATTTAAATTTGTGCCACAGCTTACAGGAATTAAATAAAGTTCCCAGCCCAAAGGTAGTTTTGGCTACTAGCCCTGACTTGGAAATGGGTTTTGCTAGGGAACTATTTTTGCAATGGTGTTCGAATTCAAATAATAGTGTAATTATTAGTACAAGGTAATGGTTCATGGATAAACAGAACTTGTTAAAATGACGTTGGCATGTAACTTCAATAGTTTCGCAGTTGCGATGCTTCAAAGTCTTGCGACTTTAATTTTTTTTCGAAAATTGATTTTTTTCTAAATGACAACGACGCACATTTTGCCTCACAACTTTGTTGATTTCAATCCGATTTTACCGTAATTAGGCTTTAATTAAAGCCAATTAAATTCTTTACAAATCTCTAATGAATAATTTTCATGCCGCTTCAATATTTTCGCAGCTGCACAGCTTCAAAGTCTTGAGACTTTAATTTTTATCAAAATGAGCTGAGAGAATATAATTTTAATTTTTTTTCTCAAATTTCAATCTTTTGTTTATCTATTTGCAAAATTTCGATCCAATCTCTCGAACATTTTCCTTAAAATAAAAATAAAACGTCCCTCAATGTCACTTTTTGGAAAATAGATCGATGGACATTTTACCTCACAACTGTGTTAATTTCAATCTGATTTCAACGAAAATGAACTTCAATTAAAACCAATTAAATTCTCTACGAATAATTTTAATGCAGCTTCAATAGTTTCGTAGCTGCGAAGCTTCAAAGTCTTGTATTTTTTTTTGGAAATTTGATTTTTTCCAATCGGATTTTAACGTAATTAGGCTGAAAATAAATCCTCTACAAATGTCCCAGTAATCATTTTTAAATAATAAACAATTCAATGGATTCAAGAGCCTGGAATACCGATAACAAGAAAAATATTTTTAGAACATCTCCAGGAACTTTGGCCAGGGATTTAATTGATAACAACGAACCGGGACGATCAATTGATTTAATTGTCGAAAGAAGAGTGAAACTCGAAGGTCAAGAATTGGAAGAGTACGAGAAAAGACAGCAAATGACTAAAGTTGAAAAAACAACCAAAGAGTATGAAGCTTTTTGTTAATTGTTTTCTCAACTAACAATATTTCTTTTTTAGAGACGACTCTGACTCTGAAAGCGACATAGAAATGTCGGTAATATCCAAAGGCAGGCACGATATTGTTGTGAAACAAGAAGGCAAAGTGGGTGGAGGTTTTTTTAAAGTGACCAAAAAGCATCATCCAATGTATCCTTTTAAAGAAGAAAAAATCAAAGTAAATAACATTTTACAATATGTAATTCCAATTCTCTGATTTTTTTTTTTTTTAGTGTGACGAATATGGTGAAATCATAAGAGTAGAAGACTACAAATTGGCTGACATTACTCCAGAAGTTGAAGACAATAAAGAAAATCTTCAAATTAAAGTGGAAGATGTTGATGAAATCAGTGAGAATTTCATTAATCATTTATTGGCAATAAAACTTACACAATTTTTTCTAGTTGAAGTTACCGATCTTCCTTCAAAATGTATAGCCCTAGAGCGTACAGTCCAAGTCAATTGCCAAGTGCAGTATATAGATTTCGAAGGCCGATCAGATGGAGAGTCTTTAATCAAGATTTTGTCACAATTGAAACCTAGAAGAGTAATAGTTGTCCATGGAACACCAGAAAACACTGAAATAATTGCAAAACATTGCCGAGAAAACATTGGAGCTAGAGTGTTTACACCGCAAAGAGGCGAAATTGTTGATGCTACAAGTGAAACACATATTTATCAGGTTTGTGCTGTCCATATATTAAAAATAAAAATTTTAATAATTCAATTTAGGTTCGATTAACTGATGCTTTAGTATCCCAATTACAATTCCAAAAAGCCAAAGAAGCAGAAGTGGCTTTTGTTAATGCTAATTTACAAATTAGAGAGTCCCAAGCTGATGCTAGAAGATTGGATGCTGATGATGAACCAATGGAAGGTAAATGTTTCTAAATATTTGTAAAGACTTTTTGCTTGAATATTGTTTTTCAGTTATAGAAGAAGATGCCCATCAGCTTACATTGGAACCGTGCAACGAAGATTATTCAAGGGAACCAGTTTTCATTAACGAATTGAAATTGTCAGATTTCAAGAAGGTTTTGGCCAAAGCTAATGTGCCTTCGGAATTTTCCGGTGGGGTTTTGTGCTGTTGCAATGGTACAATTGCTGTAAGAAAGGTACAAAATTGCTATTTTTTATTGTTGGTTTCCTAATTTTTGTTATTTTCAGCTTGATACTGGCAAAATTGTTTTGGAAGGTTGCATTTCTGAAGACTATTATAAGATTAAAGGTCTTTTGTATGAACAATTTGCTATTTTATAAGTTTTTTTTTTTGTATATTTAAGTATTAGGACTTTATTTTTTAAATGTTGCGTATAATTTTTCGTCTTTTCAGTTCGCCTCAATGGCTTTTTAGTTGTAATTCTTTAGTTTAAGTGAATAAATCTATTTTTGTTTCAAGTAAATCAAATTGTGTCTTTATTTGTTACAAGCCTATCCAAAATTTGATTTTCTCCAAAATGAGATTGACATATATTTTGCCTCACAAATTTCAATCCGATAATCTAATTTGGCTTCAATTGAAGCTAATTGAATTCTTTAGAAATCTCTGATCAATAATTTCAATGTAACTTCAATAGTTTTTGCAGCTTCGAAGCTTTAAAATCTTTTAACTTTGTTTTTTTCCAAAATGACATCGAGACACATTTTGCTCCTCAACTTTATTAATTTCAATCCGATCTTGACGTAATTAGGCTTCAATTAAAACTAATTAAATTCTCTACAAATTTTATTTAATAATTTTAATGCAGTTTCAATAGTTCCACAGCAGCAAACCTTCAAAGTCTTTTAACTTTGATTTTTTTGGAAATTTGATTTCTTCCAAAATAATATCGATACACATTTTGCCTCCCAACTAAATTAATTTCTATCCGATCTTAACGTTATTAGGCTTTAATTGAAGCTAATGAAATTCCCTATAAATCTCTTTCAATAATTTCAATGCAGCTTCACTAGTTTCACAGCTGTAAAGCTTCAAAGTCTTTTGACTTTGATTTCTATCATCTTGTTGGAGATTCTTTATATTCCTCTAGAAAATTATTTTATTTCATATTTAGAAAATCATCAAGCAAGAATATATTATTTAGGTCAACTATTATTTGGGCCTCAAGCAAAATAGCAAGTTTTTATGCCTTCTTTTGAAGCTTTTAAAAGTAAACAACCCCACCGCACGTAAGCTGTGGTTCTGTAGTGAATTTGATATGGCAACGAATATTTTTTGTACAGTGTGATTGATGGTATTGAATATTATTAAAACCAGTGTATATACTGTATGCATGTCAGTAATGCCAGTCAAACTGCTCGACAATTATTGTACTTTTCGCTATTGAATAAACTTATTGGTCAAATGCTTTTCGCCCAATAATAGAAGTGTTCAACTTTAACCAGTTTAACCCAGGCTCACAGGATATACTTTCTTCAATCAACAAACTTTTAAAATATACAGTCCACTCCCGCCATTTTGGTCCTTCGAGCCGGATTTTTCCAGAAAGTCTGGAAAGCCTGCAGCCTTATTGAAGAAGATATTGAACCTGCTTCTGCTTACACAGTGTGCTTCGAATTTCAAGTAAAAGAGTGAAATTAGTGGGGTTCAAGGTGAAAGACGTCTGTATTGGTAAGAAGTATTTGATCCGATTTATTCAGTACCTACTGTCCTAAATATTTTCCCAAAAACATTTCGTATTGAACGTTTTTTTCTTTCAACCTTAGCTTAGTATTAAGTATGCTGTTTCGAGTGCTTTTTCACCAATGAAAAACAGCCAAACTTCTATAGATATTTTTTATTGTTAATGTTTTCAAGACGCATATAATTTTTTAGTTTCTTTTGAGCGTTCCAAGAATTGTGTTTTCTTTTTTATTCTATCAATTGTTAGGTAAATCTCAAAGTCTTATGCCTGATATAAAAATCCAGGTTTTTGGCAAGGGCCTCAAGGACTTTGAGTCGTTCTTTCAGCTCTTTGACGCTCTCATTACAAATAATTCTCAGCTTACAAATACTTATTCAGAGAATATCTTAAAGGGTACCTCAAAAGAGAACCTTTGTAATTAATTGATTCTCTTAAAATAACGCATGATAATTTTGATATTGCACTAGATATTCTTAAGTCAAGATATGAAAATAAGATTGTTATAATTAACTCATATTTAGCTGCAATGCTGGATGCTCCAAGCATCAATAAATGTAAGTCAAATTCACTACGCGAATTTACAACTACAATACCTACATAAGAATTGCCAATCTCTATCAAACTTAAACCTTTCCTTCGAAGAGCTTTGGAATGTCTTGCTTGTATTTCTGTTTCAAAAGAAATTGGACTTCCATACTAAAAAGGCCTTTGAAACTGAACGAAATCAATCTGAAATACCAACTTTGAACTCATTTTTAAAATTTCTGGAAAGGCGCTGTACTATTTTGGAAAGTATGGAACTATCAAGTCCTAAAACTCAACGTATAAAACCATTTCTGTCAATCATACTACAGCAAGTGACTTCGAAAAAATAAAAAGTTCACAAAATCAAACATGTGCATTTTGTAACAAATCTGGGCACAGGATATATTCTTGCTTTGCAGTTAAAAATATTTCTTACCAGGAAAAAACGAAATTTGTTAAAGCAAATAGATTATGCTTCAACTGCTTAGGCAAGCATAATTTGGAAAATTGTTCATCCACTGAAAAATGTAGTCTGTGTTCCAAATCACACAATACTTTGCTCCATTTAAACAAAGAATTTGAAGAACAACATTCACGAAATATTTCAGTAAAAAATCTCAATCCTATAGACCTTCCGTTTCTGGCAGAAATAACCCTCACTCCCAACATTCTTCTCAGCCCAGATTTCAGCCAAATAACTCTAATAATAACTCTAGAAATAATAGTGACCATTCAAGCCAAAATGAACCAGGTATCGTCTCTTTTTCAGGTGAAGTTTCTGGGGTAAATTCAACAGGTAGTAACTCTGAAAATAGCATAAATTTGAACAATAGTAGTAGCCACTCTGCCTTATCAATAAAAAATTCTCATATACTCTTATAGCTACTGTTGAAGTTATATTGTATTGTATTCCAAACAAGGTAAACCAATTCAGGTAGAATCTTTGCTTGATACTGGTACTCAAATATCGCTTATTACCCAAAAATTAGTAACCAAATTACAGTGCAATACTTACAATGTCTCAATGAATAATATCAGGTAATAAGTCAAAGTTCTACAATGGCCAATAGAATGGCAGATGTCGAAATTTATTCCAATTCTCATTTGAATAAAAAATTTAAAGTTTCTTGTGATCTATTGCCAAACCTAACGTGCAAACTTCCCCAATATAAAATTATGGTCGACTGACTAGACATCCCAAAAATTCTTATTTTAGCAGACAGCACTTTTTTCGAACCCTCAGAAATCGATATAATTATCGGCCTCGATATATACTACGATGTAATTATAAATAATATTGTGAAACTTGGCAGAAATCTTCCTGTATTACAGGAGACCCATTTTGGTTGGATAGTCGCCGGAGTGCTTCCTAAAAAATTCACTGTTTCTCATTTCTGCCAAGCCAATAATTCCTCAATCACTTACTGTAGAAGAAAACTCATCCTATTGTTCCTTTCTGTCAACTTCTAAGGTCGACAAATTCTTACAAAATTTCTGGCATATGGAAGAAGTTCCTGAACATCCTTTGGAAAAGGGTTATGTATCTGAAGAGGAAAAATTAGCCGAACATATAGGTATTCTGCTCTACTACCGAGATATTAAAAAACGGTAGATTTCAAGTCAATATTCCCCTAAAATCTACGTCAGATAAACTTGGCGATTCATTTACAGTCTGCAAAAAACGTTGGAATACATTAGAAAACAGATTTCGAAAAGACAATACCCTACTTCAAGAATATACTAAATTTATTAATGAATACGTCGATTTAGGGCATACACAGTATGTTCCCTTAACTTTACAAAATTATAAACTTCAAAATAAATATTTTATCCCACATTTATGCGTCATACGCGAATCAAGTGTATCAACCAAACTACGTGTAGTTTATGATGCTAGCTGCGTTAGTTCTTCTGGTTATTTATTGAATGACATTTGCTTGAAAGGATATCAAGTTCAAGCGGACTTGTACGACATCTTATGTCGCTTCAGATTTTTCCCCTTTGTCTTCACGACAGACATTAAAAAAATGTACAGGCAAATTTTAATTTACCCCGAACAGCGATTCCTACAGAACATTTTGTGACGTGAAAATTCAAACACCGAATTGAGATGTATCCAGCTCAACACTGTTACGTATAGAACGGACAGTGCTCCATTCCTGGCCACGAGAGTTTGTGACAAAATTTGAGATGTTACGAAGAATAAACATTTTGGTAGCGTGAATAATTCTGTCACATCTTAGTTTGCGTGGGTACCATAATTATGCTGTAATTAAATTTATTCTGAAAAGGGATACCAAATTTTCTGAACCGGAGGCAATCCAAACAAAACCTTATTTCTCTTCTTCTTCGGTTTTGGTTAGTGCAAAGGGTTATAAATTCAAGAAGACTTACCTTTTTATTGCCAATGTTGCTTCTCTTCTCAAATGCACAAACCGGCACGAAAGAACTTTTTACGCGTCCACCAGTGTTTTAGAGGGAATTTTAAAACCAGAAAAGAAAAGAGTAATTTTGAAAGATTAAACTAATTTATTTATAAGCGAAAAGAAAAGTCAGTGTTAATTATTTAGTGATAATAAAAAAAAAAGGTTAAGTAAAATATAAAAAAAAGACCAAAAAAAAAAATTACCTTATTTAAGACCATAATTAATTTTTAACTGAAGAAAAATTAAAGACAATTGAAAGCAAAGAGTAATTTCCCAATTAAAAGGTTTAGTTCCCAAATCTGATTCTTTATTGGAATTGAAATTAAAAAAAATAACAACTATCACCTCTTTGGAGAACTTCTACTAAAACACAGGGCGGCAGAACTAGATGATGAGAAACGGATCGAGAACTCGTTGAAACTTTGCGACTTAAATTTCCAGCGATCACTCGTAGTAAAAACTAGTTGCGAATTAGCGATAACTGAAGTTATGTGGCCTCTACATGTGCTTAAATAGGCGAAAGGAATTACCCTCTGGGTACCACTTTAGAAGCCCATTGGCTCCCCTCCGTACCCGGCTTGCTAGAATCGAGGATCTCCAACCCTCTTAGCTTTCAGCGATTCGCTGAGAGTACCCTTTGGTTTCTTGCCGTGTTCCCATTGGTTCTCATATTGTTCATTCTATTTGCACCCTTAGTGATATAGTTTGAAAGCCCTCCAACAGAGTTCGCTAGTCATATGGGAAATATAATTTCGATAACTGCAATAACTGTTTTCCCCTTAATTGGAAAATCCTACATTCTATATGCTTTCTTTTAACCTAGTCAA